ACGACGGGGGCGGCCTTGCCGCGGGTGCCGGTGCCCCGGGCAGGGCTCTCCGCCCGCCCGCCCGCTCCCGGCGAGGGGATGGGCCGCTGGCCGACCCGCCGCGGGCTCCCGGTAGGTAATAGGGGAATAAATGGGAATATACTGGCTGTACGGTTACTGGAAGGGTGCTCGAAAAGTAACGGGGCATCACCGTCTCCGTCAGCGAAAGGAGTCTTGGGCAGGTGGTTTCCTCGCCACCGCAGAACCGCGCTGTCGTGGTAATTGATTGTGTGTGATTCTCTTCTCTTGATTTGAAGTAAGGCCGGTTGAGTAAATCGGCTCTCATGAAGTTTCTGTGGTCATAACTGCCCGGAGGTATTGCTGAAGCTCATTTGTGAAATGCATACAGCTAAGGTAGACATTGAAATATATTTCAGTGTTTCTGCACTTGTTTCAGAGGTTAGAGCTTCAGAAATATACTTTTGGAATCAAAATAACTCAGGATTTGGGCATCTCGGTCCAGGTCCTGAGCTGTTTCAGGAAGACCAGATTGCTTTGCAATCAGAAGTAGTTTCCAGGAATAATTTTGTAAAGCCTATGCAGAAGAAGCATGCGCAATTAAGAAAAACTTCAAATAATGTAAATATGGCTTCTGAAACCCTTGTCCGACTTTTATAAAAATCTGTCAGTCTAGCATTTTGCCAAAATTATTGTAGAAGTAGAGCCCTGTGTGTTCACAGGTGTGCACAAAAATTCCAGCTTACAGCTGAGTACCTCTTTGTTTACCACCTATCAATTAAAACTTCTTTGCTTTTAAAAATTCTTCCAGCTTCCTGTCATGGGATGGGGAATGTGCTTCAAGAAGCTTTAGTATTTTCTAATAAAGAATCAACTCAGTGTTAACTCAGTATTGAAGAGGTTGTTACATTTTTTTCCTTCTCCTGCCTATCCAATAGGAAGAAGTGCTAAACCATAGCAAAGGTTTCACTACAGCAGTGTGATTTTTAATTATTCATGTATGTCTTCAGAGAATGAGCGGACAAAATGTTACTACTATTCATATAGGTCTAAGCTTAGAGCTTAAACTAAATTAGCCATACTTGGTGGAATATCTCAGCAGGAGAATTAGATCTGTACTAGTTTATCCACATATGTGTTTTATCTTCCAAAAAATCAGGCGTTAATTTTACTGAGATGTGGTTTTGTCCACACTGAGGTGTTTGTTAATGCTTAAAACTGTTCACTCAAATATTATTCACTTCTAAGTGCAAAAAACAGCTGAAAACTTTCCAAGCTCAATGCAAAACATGCTAGGATTCAATCAAGGGTTAAATTTTATCTCCATTGAAGCAACAAGATTTTATCCAAGGGCAGGGCAAGATTTCATCTTTGTGTGCTCATTGAAAGTGAAAGATGTCAAGTAACAGAAGAGTTCATTCTTGTTAAGCACTGAATGCTGATGGGAAAAACCAAAGTCCATTAGTTAGATTTTTTTTTTTTTTTTTTTTAGTTTATTTCTTTCATTCTCCTTGCCAACTCCTGTTCTTACTTCTTGAACTGATGTTTTTGTTTTATATGCTTCGTGTAGATGAATGGACAGATGTGGACAGGAAACGAGGTACTGTAATCTTCTAGCTGCATGCAGTAGACAAACACCACTACATGCACACATGAGGCTCATCGTACGTTAACACAGCGTATCCTGTTCCTGCAGCCTTCTAGTCATAGTGTCAAAGATGAATAATAACACTCACCTGTTCATTAAAATGCACTTTCACTATAGATCTTAGAAAAAATAGACAATATCTCAAAATTATATGGCTTCAAAAATAACTTGCTAATTTAACCAAGACTATAAATAGATCAAAACTTTTTATCGTAGCAGTCTTTCTGGCCAAAATTATATTTGTATTTTTCTAGCATCATATTAATGCAAGCATATAATTGTGTGAGCATTATGAAGGTTATTTTTCTGCTTAAGTGCAGGAATATTATGTATACTGCATTTTTCTAAGTTTTTTTTTAATTCATTGCTTAGGGTTTTGACAGGTGAACTCCAGGAAAGATTTCAGGCATTTCCATCCTAGCTGCTTATCCATCTCTGCTAGTGGTCACCACCCTTGCAGAGCGATCACAAAGGAGCAGGTGCTCACACTTCAGCCAAGCTCATCTTGACTGAAATTACCCCAGAAGGTGAGTTCGACCTGAGACATCAGGTTTTGCAGTGGAGCAGCTGAGGTGTGTGTGCGCGTTTCCTTCTGGACTCTGCCTTGAAATGGTAGCCTCCAGCAAAGCGGTGTGGTAAGGAGCTGGATGAGGAAATAAATCTCTTAAACTATCTCAGTTTTTTTGCTAGGTGAACATGAGTAGAACTTTCAGTGTCTTTCTGAGCACCCCTTTTTAAGAGAGATTAGGGTTATGATTCATGTTTTTCAAAATAAGCATCATTTGTAGGCTTGGAATATTTACTGAAGGTAAATACTGATATCCTGGAGTTTGCCCCAGCTTTTTTTTTGCTACCATTACATGCTGTTTCCAAGAATGCTTTTTTCCAGCATTCAACATCTCAGAAGTCTAAAAGATTCCATATTCCTCTTTTATCACATCCAAAATGAGTTGTACGAAAGCCAACTTTATCATATTTAGTTGGTAGTGGCACAGATGCAGATCCCATGTTGAGCAATCAGCTTCTCTTGTGAGAGAAAAAAGTTTGCCCATGAGCACTGCTCTTGGGGTGATCTCTGAAAGGTTGCATAGAGTAACCAGCCAAGACTATTGCTGATGAAGCCATGATGAGGTGGCTTCGCCTGTCTTTGACCTTGTTAAGAACTGTAAACCTATTGCAAGTAGAATGTGTGACTGTTTTGAACTCATAACATTCCCTCTGCTGCCTCGAATGTCTTCTAAGAAGCACGAGCATAATCCAGGTGTAAAGACTCCAGTCTCATGTCATGCATCCACGCCATGTTATGTGACAGCACACTAGATGTTGGAACGTGTCTGTCACCAGTGACATGGCACACATAGGCGAAAACCACCGTAAATCCTCAGCTTCTCTTCTGTCCATCGCATTGCCTATACTTGGTTTCCCTCTCCCCATCCCAGTTGAAAACCCTTTCTGCTAAATTGCTTTGATGCTATGTTGCTTGGCGTGCCATATTCCCTGAGCTAACACTCCTTTCTTTGTTATTTTCCACTGTTAGAATGGTGTAAATATCTCCCTAGGGACTACCTGTGCTCTAAGATCTCTTTGCTGTGTCATTATCAAACATACCGTGTGAGATTTGCCCTTTACTGTGTTTTTTTAATGTCTTTGTCGGTTCTTTTTATAGCCAATACAAGAGTTTTTAATTTCAGAAGATGTTTTATGTAAGGCTGGGTGTGTGGTTAACACAGATCTTCCGATTCCACTGTGAATATCTACCAGCCACAGTCAGCGTACTGGGACATTGTCTGTCTCCTGACAGTTGTCGTTATTAGTGATTCTGCAAAGATGGAGGAGAAGCCTTTGCGCGGACAACATACACAAACAACTTAAAAATATTTTTCTTGATAGCAGTATAAGGCAAAAGTTATTATTTTTGTCATAATTGATTACTTGCAAAATGAAATATATACTAATAGTAATATATTTTATTTTCCCCACTGAAAAAAAGTGAGGATTTTTGCCTCAGACTGCAAGTAGGGATTGTTTTATGGACAGTTTATTTGAAAAGAAGGGAGGATGAGGAGGGATTTTTTTTCCCCATTTGTAATTAGGTGTGTTTGTAATGCATGCTGCTCAGAAACTGAGCTGAGATCTGTCTGTCTTGTTTGG